TAATGAGAGCCAGAGAACAGGAGGAAGAGAACTAGGTTACAGAGACTGGAAAGGTAAAGTGTGGAGGTGAGAATAGAAGGGAAGGAAGGGCAACAAGCAAGATATTGAGCAATGTGGATTTTTGGACTTCTGAGTAGAGGGGCCGTGGTGTAGGTGTCGTACACGAGGTCTTGTCGATACGGGGCTTCTTTGAGGACAATGGGGGAGTCGGCGGGGGCGCGCGAAGGATGTGAGAACACAGACTGACAGCATTACACAGTCGGCGACTCAGAGCCAAGGACATCAAAAGGATTAGATGCCGAAGTGGAGCTATGGAGGGTAACAACCAGAGGAGGCTGCAGAAGATGGGACCCCAGAAGTGGGGGGGACGTTTGGAAACCACGAGAATAACAGAAACACGGGTAGTCTCCCTTGGAGGCGGAGAATGAGTAACTGCCATAGCATAAGTGAGGAGAACCTTCTGCCTCTGATTGAGGGCAACGGATTCACGTTCCATTTAAGTAGACCCCTGGCAACGGCGGGAGAACGTAGGGTGAGCTTCAATTACAATTAAAGGCAAAGATGGAGGTTGACTGCAAGATGTATTAGAATGTTCCGTTCCGGCACCACAGACTGGGCATTCGGCCAGTTAAGATCTGCAATATTTCGCTGGGTGACCAAAAACGCCAGCAATTTCTACATTGTTGCGGATGGTCAGGTAATCACTTTTCGAATTGTAACCGATGTCCCGCGACATATCTACAGAGGACGGGAGTTCTCGGCTGTCAAAAGTTAAACGATCCACAATTGCAAGGGTAACGTCTCCGCCCCCGGCAGGAAGGACATAAGTGTCCTACTTGAGGATTTGGGAGATTCCTGGAGTCCCAGCTGTTCAAAAATGTCATTGCCACATGACTGAAATTCTGTTTGGACTATGGTATGGGGCAGGAATGACAGTACCACTACATAGAATTTGAGAGAAAGAATGTTTTCAATAGTGATAGGAGTAGTATGCGATATTCGAAAGGAGAGAAAGATCATGACTTGGGTACATCTGGACAGTGACGAATGGACGCGTACCGCCTTGAGAGCGATTGAAATGAAATAATCTCTGCCAACATACGCAGGAGCGCTTTGGCAATACTATGGTCAGAAAGGTAGCAGAAGAAGACGTTGGTCTTAAAGTAACGAAATTAGTCCATTGTGTGTCCCGAAACTGAGCGTGGAGAGGAAATGCTTTGACGTGTCGGTGTTCCGAGTTAGAATGGGAAGGTTAACGACGGAGCATCATCAGGAGATTGACGTTGGCGTTTTTTAGGAGTAGGAACCGGAGTTTGGTCCTGGAGCAGGAAATTGAGTGGGCGATTCAAAAAATTGCCGTCCCGAGGGGGAGAACCCGGAAGCAAGTCAAAGGAGAGCGGAGTTCAGAAAAAAATCAAAGGGAGTCAGTCGAACCCCCGGTACCTGAAGGGTGAGGGAAACACCCAGAAAGAGGTACAGGGGCATAGGAGTGTCCAAGAGGGGTCTAAACAAAAGGGCAGGGTCAGAATGGGGGCATCAGGGGGGCCCGGGGGGTGTGGTTTCATGACTAGGGTGCCAGGGTTGGTTACTCCTTTCTTTTTTTTTTAAAAAAAAAAAAAGAAAAAAGAAAAAAAAAATAAAAAAAAAAAAAAAAAATAAAAAAAGGGGGGAGGGGGGAGGAATAGTTCCCAGGAGGAATGAAAGGGCCCGGAAAATCCCCTCCGCCCCCAAAGAGGACTCGACACCGCTAGTGCGCAGTGCAGCATGGAACCCGTCCAAACCCCTACCCTTCTGCCAGTAAACCACAATCGGGATAGAAACCCTCACACCCCCCCCGAGCTACCCGGTGGAAAAAGAGGGGGGCGGCCGGTATCCGCCACAAAGCATACCCCCTTCCCACCCCCCCCGGGGAATCCGAAAGGTGGCTTCCAAGAGATACACCCTCCCCAAAAAGAACCCAAAGTCTGGGGATACCGGGAGGATCGGGACACCCCTTTTGGGAACCCAGATTCCGGAAACTCGCCCCCGCCAAAAAACCCTCAACGGAATGGGATGGACCCCCTTTTTCCCTTTCCCCCTACCTAGGAACTAGGCCCCTGTGGGAGAAATCCGAAGGCTAAAAAGGGAAGGGCAAAAAGGGGGGGGTGAGGAGGGGGAGGGGAATGGAAAAAAGGGGGGGAGGGGGAAAAGGGTAGGGGAGGGAGAAAGGGGGGTAATTAGGTTCGGCTGAGGGAAAAAGACCCAAGGCAAAATTCCCCAACCAAAGCCCTTCACCACCCAAGGAGCCCCCCCTTTAAGAAGCACAAGGGGGGACCACCAAGGGCCGCATTCTGAGAATGCCTGCCTGAGGGGTTTTGGGGTTTGAAAAGAAGGGTGCGGGGATAAAAAGCGTCGAGAAGGGTGTAGGAGCTCATCAAAGGAGGATGAAGAAGGAACCTCACTAAAAGCGTGAGGGTGAGTAAAAATCCCCAAATTTGCCCGATCAATTGCCCCGGGCTACGGAAAAAATGGTGAATAGGAAGGGGAAGTAAGAAAATGGAAAATGATCGCTGTCATGTAAAATCCCCGGTAGAAACGACAGGTGAAGTTTAGTGCATGGAGGAAGAGCAGACGATAATCATGCAAGAGAGAGTATGATACGAGGATCAAATGGGTGGGAGTACCCGTATTTAAAACATGGAGGGGGTGAGAGGCGAGAAAAGCCTCCAACTGGATGCCACGTGAATCACAATGAGACCCCCCCCCCCCCCGAGGAAATGGTGGGCATTAAAATCACCAGTAACAGAAGTGGTGGTGGTAAGGATGAAACAAGAAAGGCAAAGTCTGGGATAGAAAATGCTAGAGAAGGAGAGAGATATAAAGAACATATTGTAAACCACTTATTCAAGTGGATACGGGCTGCAGTGTAATGCAGCAAGGTATGGACAAATAGTTGACAGTACGGAATATCATTGCGTAGAAGAAGGGCACTTTTATTAAAGGTCCCATCTGAGAAAGGATCCGAAGAATACAATAAATTATAGCCTGAGATAGGTTGGAAAACAGCCGAGTGTAATTTTGGTTCTTGTAAGCAAGCACCAACAGGGGAAAACCTGGAAAGCAACATCTGAAGCTCACCCTGATTACCCCTGAGGCTGCGGATATTCCACTGTAAATAGGCCATGATTGGCGATGAAGAAAATACCAGGAATCTGTAGATAAAGGTACCTACGGACTAGAGGGGTTAGAAAAGTCAACGTGTGGTGGCATTGGAAGATGTTCAAGCAGCGAAGGAACGGAGCGTTGCGAAGAATGGGGTTGTGAAGATGGAGGAGAGGGAAGAGAAGGAACAGGAAGTGAATCGGTGTCCATTGAAGGTTTAGTCTCTGCAATATATTCTGAAATGGCTTCAAGTGTTTCTGAATTCAAAGGTGTATGGGAGACCATATTGGAGATAGGAGGAGGAGGGTGAGTAAAGATTGGGACAGTAATGGACTGTACCAAAGTAGAGGGGGAGGAAGAGTGTAAGGGACCGGAGATGAAGTGTGGGGGGGACAGAAGAGGCAGAAACCTGGGAGGTGGCAGAAGAGGGAGAAACTTGGGAGGGGACGGGGGTGGAAGGCATACTACGAGGAGGAGGGTGAATCTCCACCCTGTAATAGAGCCAGAGGAGGGGAAGAAACTAGGTACAGAGACTGGAAAGGTAAAGTGTGGAGGTGGAAGAAGGGAAGGAAGGGGCAAAGATATTTGAGCAATGTGGATTTTTTGGACTTCTGAGAAGTAGAGGGGCGATTGGTATTAGGTGTCGTACGAGGTCTTGTCGATACTGGCGCTGTGAGGAAGGACGCAAAGATGTGAGAACAGACCGAGTTGTAGTTGGGACGTCAGAGCCAAGGACAGCAAAAGGATTAGATGCCGGAGTGGCTATGGGAGGGGTAACAACAGAGAGGCTGCAGAAGAGGGACCCCAGAAGTGGGGGGATGTTTGGAAACACGAGAATAAGAAACACGGGTAGTCTCCCTTGGAGGCGGAGATGAGTAACTGCCATAGCATAAGGGAGACCTTCTGCCTCTTTGAGGCAAGGATTTCACGTTCATTTAAGTAGACCTGGCAACGGCGGGAGTACGAAGGGTGAGCTTCATTACAATTAAGGCAAGATGGAGGTTGACTGCAAGATGTATTAGAATGGTCGTCGCACCACAGACGGGCATTCGGCCATAGATCTGCAATATTTCGCTGGGTTGACCAAAACACCAGCAATTTCTACATTGTTGCGGTGTAGGTATCACCTTCGAACTTGTAACCGATGTCCGCGACATACACAAAGGACGGGAGTTCTCGGCTGTCAAAAGTTAAACGAGCCACATTGCAAGGGTAACGTCTCCGCCCCCGGGCAGGAAGGACATAAGTGTCTACTTTGAGGATTGGGAGATCCTGGAGTTCCAGCTGTTCAAGAATGTCATTGCCACATGACTGGAAATTCTGTTGGACTATGGTATGAGGCAGAATGACAGTACCACTACAAGAATTGAGAGAAAGATGTTTTTCAATAGTGATAGGAGTAGTATCGATATTCGAAAGGAGAGAAAGATCATGAGCTGGTAGCATTCTGGACAGTGACGATGCGCGTACCGCTCGAGAGCATGAAATGAAATATCTCTACCAACATGATGCAGGAGCGCTTTGCCAATACTATGGTCAGAAAGGTAGGCAGAAGAAGAAGTCGGTCTTAAAGTAAAGAATTTAGTCCATTGTGTGGTCCGAAACTGAAGGTGGAGAGGGAGTGCTTGACGTGTCGGTCTTTTCCGAGTAGAATGGGAAGGTAACGAAGGAGCATCATCAGGAGATTGACGTTGGCATTTAGGAGTAGGACTGGAGTTGGTCCGGCGTGAAATGGGCGGGCGATTCGAAAATTGCCGTACCGTAGAGGGAGAAGCCAGAAGCATAGTCAAAGGAGAGCGGAGTCAGACAAATCGAAGGAGTCAGTCGAAGCCCCGTGTACCTGAAGCGGGTGAGGAAACAGCACCAGCAAGAGGTACAGGGGCATCAGGAGTGTCCAAAGAGTGGTCTAAACACAAGGCAGGGTCAGAATGGGGTGCGGTATCAAGAAGGGGCCCAGGGGTAGTGGGTTCATGGATTGGGTTCTCCATGGTTAGGTTACTCCTTTGCTTTTTGTTTTTAAGAAAAAAAAGAAAGAAGAAAAGAAAATAAAAATAAAAAAAAAGAATAAAAAAGGGGGGAGCGGGGAGGAATAGTTCCCAGGAGAAATGAAAGGGCCGGAAATCTCCCTCCGTGCCCAAGAGGACCTCAGCACCGCTAGTAGCGCAGATGCAGCATGGAACCCGTGCCATACCCTACCCTTCATGCCAGTAAACCAGCAATCCGGGATAGCAACCTCACATCTGCGGGGCTACCTCGGTGGACAAAAGAGAGGGCGGCCGGATATCCGCCACAAAGCATACCTCCTTCAGCCACCACCCCCAGAATCCGAAAGGTGGCTTCCAGAGATACACCCGTCGCCCGAAAGACACCCAAAGCTACTCTGGGATACCGGAGAGGGATCGGGACATCCCCAGGCGATCCAGATTCCACGGCAAACTACGCCACCGCCAAGAACCTCAACGGAATGGGATGGACCCCGGTGTCCTTTCCCCTACCTAGGAACTAGCGCGCCTGTGGGAGAAATCCCAAAGGCCGAAAAGAGGAAGGGCAAAAGGGAGGGGTGGGGAGGAGGAGGTGGAATGGAAAAAGGGGAGGATGGGATAGGGGAGGGGAGAATGGGGGGTAATTAGGTTCGGTCTGAGGAAGAAGACCGACAGGTCTAATTCCTCAGACCAAGAGCCTCTTCACCACGCCAAGGAGCCCCCCTTGAAGAGGAATGTACACCAAAAATGAAAGAAATCTAAGCATAAATAATGGAGTTCACTTCTCAGCAATTAGCCACCCCTTTGCAGTAATTTCGAATGGTGTTTATGGTTGTATTCTCCTTTTTTTGGTCTCATTTGATAGATTGGAGATATATTACAGAAATAGATATGATTTTAATTACTTTCATGACAAACAGTACCTTGAAATAGAGCTCAACCTAGGAGAAATGGTCTATTGCTTGGCTGTTTCAGAGTAAACAAATGACGTCACTGTCCATTCCAATATGCAGTCGTGAATGGGTTGACATTATTTATACAATTATTGCAATAAGGAATAACAGTAAATCTTATATTTTTTGTGTGAATAAAAATTGCAAATTATATAATAATAATATGTATATGTAGGGTTGTTGAGGTGGTTCGGACATGTAGAAAGAATGGAGCGAAACAGAATGACTTCAAGAGTGTATCAGTCTGTAGTGGAAGGAAGGCGGGGTAGGGGTCGGCCTAGGAAAGGTTGGAGGGAGGGGGTAAAGGAGGTTTTGTGTGCGAGGGGCTTGGACTTCCAGCAGGCGTGCGTGAGCGTGTTTGATAGGAGTGAATAGAGACGAATGGTTTTTAATACTTGACGTGCTGTTGGAGTGTGAGCAAATTAACATTTATGAACGGGTTCAGGGAAACCGGCAGGCCGGACTTGAGTCCTGGAGATGGGAAGTACAGTGCCTGCACTCTGAAGGAGGGGTGTTAATGTTGCAGTTTAAAAACTGTAGTGTAAAGCACCCTTCTAGCAAGACAGTGATGGAGTGAATGATGGTGAAAGTTTTTCTTTTTCGGGCCACCCTGCCTTGGTGGGAATCGGCCAGTGTGATAATAATAATGTATAATAATAATAGTATAATATAATACAATAATTATATTATTATTATATGTATAATAATATATATAATAATAATGTACTACATATAATAAAAGACAGCTTCAAAAGGCCGTCACTAGATGGCAGTGTTTACCACAACAAAAAGGGAGCGGTTGTGGCTGCCTCCACTTGTTACATAATGACATTGTATTCATTCTAGAGTATATATCATGTTTCTATGTTATTTATATTGTTTGTTATGTCATATTAGATGAACTGTGATATATAAATAAGCCGTATAGATGATGATAGCGAAATTATTCATGAAGTATTTTGCCCGGTCTCCAGACAAGCTCTCGTCCACTGCCGACACTGCCCATACCACTACATGAATGACATATTTTATTCATTTTAGAGTATATATCAGGTTTCTATGTTATTTATATTGTTTATTATGTCACATTAGATGAAGTGAAATAGATAAATAAGCCGTCGAGTTGATATTAGCGAAATTACTGAAGTACAGAATTCCACTGGAACAGATTAATTGCATTTCAGTTCATTTAAATGAGGAAAATTTACTCTGCAAACAAGCAAATCCAGTTGTGAGCAAGGTCATGGAACGGATTAAACTCGCAAGTAGAGGTTCCACTGTATTTTGTCCTGCCTCCCGAGAGCAGGAATTCTGTTGGAATGGATTAATGGCATTTCAGCTAATTTAAATGAGGAAAATTGATTTGATATACGAGCAAATTGAGTTACAAAGCTAGGTCATGGAACAGATTAAAGTTGAGGGTCCACTGTATTAACCCTGAGAGCTTAGCTGTAAAACAGTTCCTTGGAATTATATAATTTATTTTTTTTTTACCTCAAAGGCCATCTCCCACCAAGGTACGGTGACTCAAAGATGACAACTCATTTCACCATCCATTCAATCATTGTCTTGCCAGAAGTATGTCGATATTACAATTCAGGTTACCCTCTAACTGCAACATCCTCATTCCTCCAGGGTGTAGGCACTGCCCTTCCCACATCCAGGACTCAATTCTGGATAATGGGTTTTCTGAATCCCTTCATGAATTATTTTGCTCATACTGCAACAGCACATCTAGTAAAAAAAGCACTTCTCTCCACTCCAAACATGCTCACATAAGCCTGTTGGATGCTCAACCCTTAAAACTCAACCTCTTTTACTCACCTTCCACCAACCATTCCTGGAGTGATCCCTACCCATCCTACACATCCCATTCATCATCCTGACTGATGAGGTAGTTTGGGCATATATGCCCAAACTACCTCATCACCTTGCTCTTTTTCTATTCTCACTTATAATATCCCCCTTTCATATACCCTAAATTCATCCAATGTTGGCAATTTATTTTCAGAGTCCCCCAAAAGAACCGTCACCAGCAAAGAGCAAATATGATATATAGGGTAGTTAAGGTGCTTCGAGGAAGGAGAGGGGGATATGATGAGGAAGAGGGTTTATAAATCTGTGGAAGACAGGAATGGAGGGAGGTTGTAAAGGAGACTTTGAGTTTTATTGGCCTGAACATTTTAGATAGTGAATGGAGACACTTGGTTGTGAGTGGGTATGCTGTTGGAGTGTGAGCAAGGTAATAATTAGGAAGAGATTTGGGGAAACCAGTTAGCCAGATCTGAACCCTGGAGGTGGAAAGGGCAGTACCTGCACTCTGAAAAAGGGGTGAGGATGTTGCAGTCAAGAGGGTAATCTAAACTGTGATGTCAGCACACTTCTGGCAACACAGCAAATGAATGATGGGTTACCCTGCCTTTGTGGGAAACTACTGCTGGGGTGAAAGCAAAATATACTCAGGACTAGGATGTCAGATTTACTCTCATAAATGTGTGCCAGCAGCTAGTCATCATCCTCTTCGTCAAATAGCTGTTGGTACATAAGTGAAGTCCCCCGAGGCTGGACAATTGTAGTGATGTGGCTGGTGTAGTCATGTGGCTTTGGAGCAGCCATTAAAATGGCCTGAGAGCAGATATAAGCAAACCTTATTTCAGATGAAAGAACTGGACTAATTTCAATATATGCTAAAAATAATGTACTAAATGTAGCAACTAATATTATACTAGATGCTATTAGAGAATGTGAGCATCATGTAGATCCACAAATGGAGGGAGATTTTATATAATTTTTCAAACATCTTTGTACACTAATTCATACACATGGAGAAGGAAAGACTACTGTGAAAAAAAAATAATAAAATGCCATAGTAGCCAAGTGGTTCACTGCATCTTTTACAGACCCATCAAAAATAACAGTAATCTGAGTTTAACAGGAACCTACTTAACACCTCTGTTACTACTGCTTCCTTTATTCTCCTGTTGACTATGGAATTTATTTTGTCATTATTCACACCAGTCATTTTTTTTTCTTTTTTAACACATCGGTCATCTCCCATAGAGGCAGGGTGACCCAAAAAAGAAAACACGTTCACCATCATTTACACATAATCACTGTCTTTGCAGAGGCACCCAGATCTGACAGTTTAGTAACTCCAACCAGCCAATATCCCAAACCCCTCCTTTAAAGTGCAGAGATTGTACTTCCCACCTCCAGGACTCAAGTCAGGCTAACTGCTTTCCCTGAATTCCTTCACAAAATATTACCCTGCTCACACTAACAGCTCATCAGGTCCCAAAAAATCTCGTCTCCATTCACTCCTATCTAACGTACTCACAAATGCCTGCTGCATGTCCAGGCCCCTTGCACACAAAACATCTTTTACCCTCCCTCCATCCTTTCCTAGGACAACCCCTACCCTTCTACAGATTTATAACCCTCCAGATCATTCTATTTTGCTCCATACTCTCTAAATGGCCAAATTACCTCAATAAATATGTATATGCATGAATTAGTGTACATGGTTTATGGTACATGATTTACATGGTGCTCTTTAGGAAAACTATATAGCAAATAGCAGAAGTCATATACTGTATGTACATTGGAAAATCAGATTAATATAAAACTTTTCATTAACAGTGAGGTTGTATGACATGGGTTAGTACTCTGTTTTAATATTTCTTTTAAATAGTAGATATCAGGATGCATTAACAGCATAAAAAAACTATTAAAATGGATACGTCATGCTCTTTAACCCTTTGACTGTTTTGGCCATATATATACGTCTTACGCGCCACTGTTTCGGACGTATTTATACGCGTAAATTCTAGTGGCTTCAAATCAAGCAGGTGAAAACTGGTAGGCCCACATGCGAGAGAAAGGGACTGTGTGGTCAGTGTACACCACATAAAAAAAAATCCTGCAGCACGCAGTGCATAATGAGAAAAAAAAACTGACCATTTTTTTGGATTAAAACGCCGACTTTGAGGTGTATTTTTGTATAGTATTTATTGTTGTATTCTCGTTTTCATGGTCTCTCGTGATAAAATGGAAAACATATTACAGAAATAAAGATGATTTTGATTAGTTTCACAATGAAAACGACCTTGAAATTGAGCTCAAAGTAGCGGAAATGTTCGATTTTTACCAATGTTCAGGAGTAAGCAAATCACACCACACATCCAATACACATCAACTGGGGAGTCTAATATTCTTTCACTAGTGCACTGATATTATTTATACTATTTTTACAATACTGCAGTAGTCTGCATAACAGTAAATTTTGTATTTTTTGTATGAATAAAAAATAAAAATAGAAAGCAATAGTAATATAAGAGGGGTCTAGAGACGTGACTAATTAACAGAGGATATGTTATTTTAGTGCCAAGAATGTCTACATTGTTTATTCTGGACCCTATTTTGAAATTGGCATTTTTAATTTGCATGAAATTGGCCAAATTGCCAATTTCTGACCACTTTATTAGGTAGGTTAAATCAGTAAATGGGCAGTTTCTTGTACTCAAGTAATAGAAAAAATGGAGTTCTAAAGAAGTAGCTATGAGTTTGGCCAAACAGAATTGGCCAAAAACAGGGCTCAAAGTCAGCGAAATCGCCGATGCGTATACGTCGCTGAGACCGCTAACTTCGTGGGAGAGCAATTCCATGAGTTTTCAACCAAATTTCATACTTTTGGTGTCATTACCATCAGAAAAAACTTCTCTATCATTTGAAAGGAAATTTTTTTTTTTTTCCAATAATTGTGACAGAATGACAGTTTCAGAAAGGGGCTTGCGACAGTCAAAGGGTTAAGCAATGTTTGTGATCTTTGCTTATAAAGCAACAATCTTGTACAATAAGAAGTGTGAGTTCATTGTTGTAATAATTCCAAGAATGTCATACATAGTGGCACTATGACTGTGGCAGTGGCTAAGTAGATATACTGGCAATGTGTCCTAGTAAATCATGATAATGTTCTTTGGATATGGCATTATTTACTAGTAGACAGATAGCAATACTTTTTTTTAACACATCGGCTGTCTCCTACCAAGGCAGGGTGGCACGAAAAAGAAAAAAATCATCACTCACTCACTCCATAACTGTCTTGCCAGAGGTGTGCTTACACCTCAGTTATAAAATTCCTTCAGAGAGCAGACACTGTATTTCCTATCTCCAGGACTCTAGTCCAGCCTGCCAGTTTGCCTGACTTCCTTCATAAATGTTACCTTGCTCACACTCCACCAGCACGTCAAGTCCTCAAAAAATCATTTGTCTCCATTCACTCTTATCTAACATGCTCATGCATGCTTGCTGGGAGTCCAAGTCCCTTGCACACAAAACCTTTACCTCCTCCCTCCAACAATTCCTAGGCTGACCCCTACCCTGCCTTCCCTCCACTACAGATTTATACACTCGAAGTCATTCTATTTTGTTCCATCCTCTCTACATGTCCGAACCACCTCAACAACCCTTCCTCAGCCCTCTGATTAATAGTTTCCATAATCCCACACCTCCTCCTAATTTCCAAACTACAAATTCTCTGCATTATATTCACACCACACATTGCCTTCAGACACGACATTTCCACTGCCTCCAGCCTTCTCCTTGTAGCAACATTCACCACCCATATACGAGCATTGGTATAATTATACTCTCATGCATTCCCCTTTTTGCTTCCACGGACAAAGTTCTGTCTCCACAGACTCCAAAGTGCACCACTTGCCTCTTTCCCCTCATGTTTCATAGACCCATCTGCTGACACATCCACTCCTAAATATCTGGATACATTCACCTCCTTCATACTCTCTCCCTCCAATCTGATACCCAATCTTTCATTACTCATTTTTTTTTTGTTACCCTCATCACCTTACTCTTTCCTATATTCACTTTTAATTTTCTTCTTTTACATACCCTACCAAACTCATCCACTAACCTCTGCAACTTCTCTGAAGAATCTCCCAAAAGCAACTGTAACAACTCCCACTTGACCCTATCAAATAGTGATATTACCTGAGTGGCTGGTTGCCCTACCTGTGTCTCTGTTGCACTCTGGTCGAAGCTGTTGAGGAAGAAGAGGACAGGACAGTAGCATATGTTAAGGATAGCTACGCTGCGCATCAGCCAAGGAAAGCCTATTTTCTGGACCACAGCCCCACCCACTAACGGTCCTGCAGCAGTAATAGTACAGTCAGCAGTGAATACACTTTGATACAGTCAAATGCATAAACATTAAAACAGCCATTACATAATGTTTTATAGTCAAGAGTGCACCCAGCAATAAACATAGATTAACAATATTAAAATTATGGTATACAGTAGGCCTCTCCCTCCTGTGTTTCTGCCAGTTTGCCATTCATATTTAGTACTCTCACCCTTTTGCTCTAAGGGTGGCTCACCTATCATACCAGTGATTTTTTTTTCTTTGTCCCTTATGTCACTGTATTGTAAAAACATTTTTTCTCATTTTTTGTACTAATACATTCATACTGTATGTATGCTCATTGCTCTGCAAGTATACATACCTCACATTTGTCTAGTAGCAACTGATCAAGAATCAGATTGGAGAGAGGGGGTAAAGGAGGTTTTGTGGGCAAGGGGCTTGGACTTCCAGCAAGCGTGCGTGAGCATGTTAGATAGGAGTGAATGGAGACGAATGGTACTTGGGACCTGACGATCTGTTGGAGTGTGAGCAGGGTAATATTTAGTGAAGGGATTCAGGGAAATCGGTTATTTTCATATAGTCGGACTTGAGTCCTGGAAATGAGAAGTACAATGCCTGCACTTTAAAGGAGGGGTTTGGGATATTGGCAGTTTGGAGGGATATGTTGTGTCTTTATATGTGTATGCTTCTGGACTGTTGTATTCTGAGCACCTCTGCAAAAACAGTGATAATGTGCGAGTGTGGTGAAAGTGTTGAATGATGATGAAAGTATTTTCTTTTTGGGGATTTTCTTTCTTTTTTTTTTTTGGGTCACCCTGCCTCGGTGGGAAACGGCCGACTTGTTGAGAGAAAAAAAAAAAAAAAAAAATCATAAGGTTACATTATTGTTTTCCTTAGTTTTTAACTAAATGTATTCATACCCTTGTACATAACTGTTGTTTTTTTTTTTTTTCTTTTTAACAAGTCGGTCATCTCCCCTGAGGCAGGGCGACCCAAAAAAGAAAGAAAATCCCCAAAAAGAAAATACTTTCATCATTATTCAACACTTTCACCTCACACATACTGTTTTTGCAGAGGTGCTCAGAACACAACAGTTTAGAAGCATATACGTATAAAGATACACAACATATCCCTCGAAACTGCTAATATCCCGAACCCCCTCCTTTAGAGTGCAGGCATTGTACTTCCCATTTCCAGGACTCACGTCCGGCTATATAAAAATAACCGGTTTCCCTGAATCCCTTCAATAAATATTACCCTGCTAACACTCCAACAGATCGTCAGGTCCCAAATACCATTCATCTCCATTCACTCCTATTGAACACACTCGTGCACGCCTGCTGGAAGTCCAAACCCCTCGCCCACAAAACCTTCCTTCCAACCTTTTCAAGGACGACCCCTACCCCGCCTTCCTTCCCCTACAGATTTATACGCTCTCCATGTCATTCTACTTTGATCCATTCTCTCTAAATGACCAAACCACCTCAACAACCCCTCTTCAGCCCTCTGACTAATACTTTTATTAACTCCACACCTTCTCCTAATTTCCACACTCCAAATTTTCTGCATAATATTTACACCACACATTGCCCTTAGGATATCTCCACTGCCTCCAACCGCCTCCTCGCTGTTGCATTCACAACCCAAGCTTCACACCCATATAAGAGTGTTGTTACTATTATACTTTCATACATTCCCTTCTTTGCCTCCATAGATAACGTTTTTTGTCTCCACATATACCTCAACACACCACTCGCCTTTTTTCCCCTCATCAATTCTATGATTAACCCCATCCTTCATAAATCCATCTGCCGACACATCAACTCCCAAGTATCTGAAAACATTCACTTCTTCCATACTCCTCCTCCCCAATTTGATATCCAATTTTTCTTTATCTAAATCATTTGATAACCTCATTACCTTACTCTTTTCTATGTTCACTTTCAACTTTCTACCTTCACACACCCAAACTCATCCACTAACCTTTGCAATTTTTCTTTAGAATCTCCCATAAGCACAGTATCATCAGCAAAAAGCAACTGTGTCAATTCCCATTTTGTATTTGATTCCCCATAATTTAATCCCACCCTTCTCCCGAACACCCTAGCATTTACTTCTTTTACAACCCCATCTGTAAATATATTAAACAACCATGGTGACATTACACATCCCTGTCTAAGATCTACTTTTACTGGGAAGTATTCTCCCTCTCTTCTACACACCCTAACCTGAGCCTCACTATCCTCATAAAAACTCTTTACAGCATTTAGTAACTTATCACCTATTCCATATACTTGCAACATCTGCCACATTGCTCCCCTATCCACTATCATATTATGCCTTTTCTAAATCTATAAATGCAATAAAAACTTCCCTACCTTTATCTAAATACTGTTCACATATATGCCTCAATGTAAACACTTGATCTACACATCCCCTACCCACTCTGAAACCTCCTGGCTCATCCGCAATCCTACATTCTGTCTTACCTCTAATTCTTTCAATTATAACCCTACCGTACACTTTTCCTGGTATACTCAGTAAACTTATTCCTCTATAATTTTTACAATCTCTTTTGTCCCCCTTCCCTTTAAATAAAGGGACTATACATGCTCTCTGCCAATCCCTAGATACCTTCCCCTCTTTCATACATTTATTAAACAAAAATACCAACTGCTCCAACACTATATCCCCCCCTGCTTTTAACATTTCTGTCATGATCCCATCAGTTCCAGCTGCTTAACCCCCTTTCCCCTCAAGGAAGGTTCCTTGATGTTGGTGAGGGGCTCTTGATTTAGGGAATTGGATCTGTGCTCCAGTTCCCCGAATTAAGCCTGAATGCCTTCCACATCCCCCCCCAGGCGCTGTATAATCCTCCGGGTTTAGCGCTTCCCCTTGATTATAATAATAATAATTTACCCCCTTTCATTCTACGTAATGCCTCACGCACCTCCCCCCCACTCGCATCCTGTTCTTCACTCCTAAAAGATGGTATACCTCCCTGGCCAGTGCATTAAATTACCGCTTCCCTTTCTTCATCAACATTTAAAAGTTCCTCAAAATATTCCCGCCATCTATCCAATACCTCCATCTCCCCATCTATAACTCCCCTACTCTGTTTTTAACTGACAAATCCATTCGTTCCTTAGGCTTTCTTAACATGTTCAACTCACTCCAAATTTTTTCTTATTTCCATTAAAATTTCTTGACAGTGCCTCTCCCACTCTATCATCTGCTCTCCTTTTGCACTCTCTCACCACTCTCTTAACCTTTCTTTTACTCTCCATATACTCTTATAACAATTCTGCTTTGTAAAAACCTCTCATAAGCTAACTTTTTCTCTTTCATCACACCCTTTACTTCATCATTCCACCAATCACTCCTCTTTCCTCCTGCACTCACTCTCCTATAACCACAAACTTCTGCCCCACATTTTAATACTGCATTTTTTAAAAAACTATTCCAACCCTTTTCAATCCCCCCCCCACTACTCATACTTGCACCAGCCCACCTTTCTGCCAATAGTTGTTTTTATCTCGCCTGAACTTCTTCCTCCCTTAGTTTATACTCTTTCACCTCCCTCTTGCTTGTTGTTGCCATTTTCCTCTTTTCCCATCTACCTCTTACTCTAACTGTAGCTACAACTAAATAATGATCTGATATATCAGTTGCCCCTCTATAAGTGTGTACATCCTGGAGCCTACCCATCAACCATTTATCCACCAATACATAGTCTAACAAACTACTTTCATTATGTGCTATATCATACCTTGTATATTTATTTATCCTCTTCTTCATAAAATATGTATTACTTATTACCAAACCTCTTTCTACACATAGCTCAATTAAAGGCTCCCCATTTTCATTTACCCCTGGCACCCCAAATTTACCTACTACTCCCTCCACATCATTTTTGCCCACTTTAGCATTGAAATCCCCAACCACCATTACTCTTATACTTGGTTCAAAACTCCCCACGCATTCACTCAACATTTCCCAAAATCTCTCTCTCCTCTACACTTCTCTCTTCTCCAGGTGCATATATGCTTACTATAACCCACTTTTCACATCCAACCCTTATTTTACTCCACATAATCCTTGAATTAATACAGTTATAGTCCCTCTTTTCCTGCCATAACTTATCCTTCAACATTATTACTACTTCTTTAGCTCTAACTCTATTTGAAACCCCTGACCGAATCCAATTTATTCCTCTCCACTGGAACTCTCCCACCCCCTTCAGCTTTGTTTCACTTAAAGCCAGGACATCCAACTTCTCATTCATAACATCCACAATCATCTCTATCATTTGCACAACATTCAGACTTCCCACTTTGACAATTTTCTTCCTGTTCTTTTTAGTAATCTTTACAGGTAAAGGGGTTACTAGCCCATTGTTCCCAGCCTTTTAGTCGACTTTTACAACATGCATGGCTTACGGAGGAAAGATTCTTATTCCACTTCCCCATGGATATAAAAGTAATAAGACCAAGTACTATTAAGATAAAATCAAAGAAAACTCAGATGAGTGTGTATAAATAAACATGTACATGTATGTGTAGTGTAACCTAAGTAGAAGTAGCAAGACATACCTGTAATCTTGCATATTTATGAGAGACAAAAGACACCAGCAATCCTACCATCATGTAAAACAATTACAGGCTTTCGTTTCACACTCGCTTGGCAGGACGATAGTACCCCCTGGGTGGTTGCTGTCTACCAACCTACTACTACAGGAGAGAGGAGCTCACAATGATGTTTCGGTCCGACTTGGACCATTTACAAAGTCATGTGACTTTGTAAACGATCCACGCCGGACCGAAATGTCGATCGTAAGCTCCTCTTTCATGTGTGAGGGTTATTTGTGTATTGTTCCAGTCACAGTATTATGCCTTTTTGTTTATATATATTATAATCATAATGAAGCACTAAAAGAATAAAAAGGCAAAATACTGTGACTTGAATACACAAATAACCCACACTTATGAGACAAACTTATAATGATGTTTCAATGTGACTTGGACCATTAAAGAGTCACACAGTGACTAGTTAATGGCCCACATCAGACAGAAATGTCATAAGTTTGTCTCCTACATGTAGGTTATCTATCTATACGTAAAGAGAGCTCACAACTGTTGGACAATTATTAGTTAAGAACTGCTGATTAGTTGAAAACAGAGTGGCTAGGAAGAGATGTTGAGTGCTCGGTGTCATGAGAACAATATCTCCACACACCCACACAAGCACACTTTTATTGCCTTGTCTTGTGTCCAGATATTAACCATGGCACACACACAAAGAAAGGAATACTAGTAATGCTGGAGGTATATGATGGTCTTTCCTACTCTGACTTTTTAACAAACTAGTTGCATTAACTGATGTTTTAATTTACCTCGTGCATTATTCCATACCCTCACTAACCCTTACTCTGGCATACTCCTGTTGCTCACTCCCTCCTAGCTTCTGCATTCCTCCTTTAGCACATCCCTCCCTCCAGCACTCTGAGCCTTTTGGGTTCAGTGTTTAAACTGATTGCCTTATTAGTATTATGGTCTTACTATATATAATTACATTAATAGGGTAAATGCAATCATTATTATTTTGATACCTATGGGTTTAGCACTTCCCCCTTGATTATAATAATAATTATTTTGATAGCATATATATTTATGTAGTTTCATCTAATTGTTATTCTTTGATATGGACAACTGTTTAATATAGTGAGAATAAAAGAATTTTTAGAAAACAATGCTGTTTTAATTGATCTGTAATATATACTAAGAAAAATAGTGTTTGGTCTTAAGATCCAGAATCCTTTAGCCCCCTTTCTAACCAGACAGCCACCTCTAAGCCCAACATCAATATAAACATTATGGCACCACCCTTGGGTTTTGTACCATAGATTTGTATTCTATATATATTTTATTATTATTTTATTATTATCACACTGGCCGATTCCCACATGCAATTAAAATATACTAAGTCCATTAGCCACAGTCCATAATTCAGTTCAATTTATATAAGCCCTTCAGGAGGTGATGCCTTGATGCCAGTGGAGGGCTCTTGATACAGAGAACTGGAACTACACTCCACTTCCTTGGATCAAACCTGACTGCTTCCCATTCCTCATTCTACAGGAGCTGCATGACCCTTGTGCGTTTGGCACTTCCCTATTAATATAGGTTGTAGGTCACATTACAGAAATTAGCCAACTTTAATCAAAAGTCTTGAGGCGAGTTAATGGGTATTAAGATTTTATCTCATAAGAGACTAAATCAGCTCCAATTCCTGAGATCAAGAGCTCTTCAATGCCAAATCACCATTTTTTGAAATTTTAGAATTTTTAATCAACCCTGGCAATCGGGCAAGTATTATAGGTGCTGTGGGCATGCATAAAAAAAATGCTGAAGGGAACAACATGTCAAGACAAAACTAGGACTAAGCAGGAAAACTTCAACATACATTTGTGTAGTCCATGGAACTAATGGAAACTGATGTGTAATATTTGTGCTGCAATAATGATAAAGGTTACAGTAATTCTACTAATTATATAACACACAAAAGAATATTTTATTATTATTATCACACTGGCCGATTCCCACCAAGGCAGGGTGGCCTGAAAAAGAAAAACTTTCACAGTCATTCACTCCATCACTGTCTTGCCAGAAGGGTGCTTTACACTACAGTTTTTAACCCCTCATGGAAGGTTCCTTGAAGTTGGTGAGGGGCTCTTGATTTAGGGAATTGGATCTGTGCTCCAGTTCCCCGAATTAAGCCTGAATGCCTGCCACATCCCCCCCCCCAGGCGCTGTATAATCCTACGGGTTTAGCGCTTCCCCCTTGATTATAATAATAATAATAATACAGTTTTTAAACTGCAACATTAACACCCCTCCTTCAGAGTGCAGGCACTGTACTTCCCATCTCCAGGACTCAAGTCCGGAAAGAATATTGTTGAATATTGTTGGAATATAAAAAGAAAAAATTGGAACATTACCAAGGAAGTAGGCGAGAGCAACAGCAGCTTGAGCGATGGCATAAACAGACCCATAGGCTGCAACATGTCTGGCATCCACTAAAGCAGCCAACAGGGGCATGAGAGCAGCATCCACAGTGCCTACGCCCATGCCCAGGCACAGGTGCGGTCCAGCTAGTGCCAACATTGATCTCGCTTCTGGCACCTGAAATACTATACTGTCCTTGCCTTCTGATGTATACAATATTTAGTTACAGTATTACACATATCTAAACTGCTCTATCTGCACGACTCTGGAAAGACAGTGATAAGTGTGAATGGTGAAAGTGTGTGTGCTTTGGGTCACCCTGCCTTCATGGGAGACAGCCAGCAGCTTAAAAAGAAATTATACAAAGCTTTGCTACTATACTGTCCTCTCCCTATTTATTGATATATATTTAGTTGCATGAAATGTGCAGATATGAGTCACCTTGAGTAGTACTAGAAAAGGCTAAAGGCTGTAATTTTTTTTTTTTTTTTTTTTTTAAAGACCCCATGACAAATTCTAGATATTCAAGATACTGAACAAGAGAGTACATGCTCCTTGCTTCACAAATTTTTGTATTGGCCAATTGGTTTATGGGATTATGGTCTCTCATGTGTATCATGAAATGATAGCTGTTATAGCATGAGCCAGTGCTTGGCCTGTTACTAGTTTACTCTAGCTTGGTGTAGAGTACTCAAACTCTAAAGGAAAGGCAGAAAAGGCACCAAGACTGTGATTTGGGGTACTGAGCTTTTTTCTTATTACACTGCTACAGCTAGATTTTGCTTTATTTGCTACTACTCTTTGCATTCTATTAGAAAACTGAATACCCACATTCCTACTTTTCATGTAAAATCTCCTCTTCAAGGGGGGCTCCTTGGCATGGTGAAGAGGCTCTTGGTCTGAGGAATTAGACCTGTCAGTCTTCTTCCTCAGACCGAACCTAATTACCCCCCAATCTCCCCTCCCCTATCCCATCCTCCCCATCCTCCCCTTTTTCCTTTCCTCCTCCTCCTCCCCACCCCTCCCTTTTGCCCTCCCTCTTTTTGGCCTTTGGGATTTCTCCCACAGGTGCGCTAGTTCCTAGGTAGGGGAAAGGATACCAGGGTCTATCCCATTCCGTTGAGGTTCTTGGCGGTGGCGTAGTTTGCCGTGGAATCTGGATCACCTGAGGATGTCCCGATCCCTCTCCGTATCCCGAGTAGCTTTGGGTGTCTTTCGGGCGACGGGTGTATCTCTGGAAGCCACCTTTCGGATTCCGGGGGTGGTGGCCGAAGGAGGTATGCTTTGTGGTGGATATCCGGCCGCCCTCTCTTTTGTCCACCGAGGTAGCTCGGTAGATGTGAGGTTGCTATCCCGGATTGTTAGTTTACTAGCATGATGGGTAGGGTATGGCACGGGTTCCATGCTGCATCTGCACTACTTGCGGTGCTGAGGTCCTCTTGGGCGCGGAGGGAGATTTCTGGCCCTTTCATTCCTCCTAGGAACTATCCCTCCCCGGTCCCCCCTTTTTTTATTCTTTTTTTTATTTTATTTTCTTTTCTTTCTTTTTTTTTCTTAAAAACAAAAAGAAAGAAGTAACCTAACCATGGCAGCCCTAGTCCATGAACCTACTACCCCCGGGCCCCTTCTTGATACCGCACCCCGTTCTGACCCCGCCTCGTCTTTGGACCACTCTTCAGACACTCCTCATGCCTCTGTACCTATTGCCGGTGCTGTTTCCTCACCAGCTTCAGGTACTGAGGCCTCGACTGACTCCTTCGATTTATCGGACCTTCGCTCTCCTCTGACTATGCTTCCGGCCTCTCCCTCTACGGTGCGGCAATTCTCAAATCGCCGACCCGTTCCACGTTGGACCAACTCTGGTCCCACGCCTAAACGCCAACGACAATTACCTGCTGATGATACTTCTCCACCTTCTCGTTCTTCTCAGAAACTATCGACACGTCCTTCACTACCTTTCCACGCTCAGTTTCAGACTGAACAATGGACTAAATTCTTCACTTTACGACCGACTTCCTCTACTGCCTATCTTTCTGACCACAGTATTGGCAAGGCACTCTTACGCCATGTTGGTAAAGATATTTCTTTTCATGCTCTTAAGAGCGGTACGCGCATCATTACCGTACAGAATGCTACCCAGGCTCATGAGCTCTCTCGTCTTTCCCATATCGATACTGTTCCTGTCACTCTTGAAAAACATCATTCCCTCAATTCTTGTAGTGGTACCGTCATTCTACCCCATACCATAGTTCAACAAAATTTCCAGACATGTGGCACCGACATTCTTGAACAGCTGGAACTCCAAGATCTCCCAATCCTCAAGGTAGACACTTGCGTTCTTCCTGCCCGCGGGCGGAGACGATACCCTAGCAATGTGGCTCGTTTAACTTTTGACAGCCGAGAACTCCCATCCTCAGTTTATATAGCAGGACATCGGTTACAAGTTCGAAAGGTGATCCCTACACCACAACAGTGTAGAAATTGCTGGCAATTTGGTTATCCAGCGAAATATTGCAGATCTATCGCCGAATGCCCAGTCTGTGGTGCCGATGACCATTCTAATACGTCTTGCAATCGATCTCCCTCTTGCCTTAACTGTCATGAGGCTCACCCTTCGTACTCTCGCCGTTGTCAAGTCTATTTAAACGAGCGGGAAATCCGTTACCTCAAAGAGACAGGTCTCCCTTATGCCATGGCAGTTTCTCATCTCCGCCTCCGTGTTTCTTATTCCCGTGTTTCAAAAGGTCCCCCCACTTCTGGTATCCCATCTTCTACACCCACCTCTGTGGTTACCTCTCCCATAGTCACTCCTGTATCTAATCCTTTTGCTGTCCTCGGCTCAGACGTCCCTACTTCAACGCCTCTGATCTCGCTTCTTCGAGTTCTCTCTCACAAGCCTCAGTATCGACGAGACCTCGTACGACACCTCCTCCCAATCGTCCCTCTACTTCTCAAAAGTCAAAAAAAGGTCCGTTAACACCTTCTACCCATCTTCCACCTCCTCATTTTACCCTCCCTGTCTCTGTCCCTGGTTCTCCCCCTCTGGCTCAGTTACAAGTGTAGAGGTTCACCCTCCTCCTCGTACTGTACCTTCCTCCCCGGTTCCCTCCCAAGTTTCTTCCTCTTCTGCCACCTCCCAGGTTCCTGCCTCTTCTGTCCCCTGCCACGCTTCTCCAGTTCCCTCCACCCTTTCGCCCCCCCCTACCTTGGTACAGTCCAATACAGTTCCAATCTTTACTCATCCTCCCCCTACCATTTCCAATATTGTCTCCCATACGACGTCTCTGAATTCAGAAACACTTGAAGCAATCTCTGAATATATTGCAGAGACCAAACCATCAATGGACACTGATCCACCTTCCGCTCTTTCTCTCTCCTCTGCTCCATCTGCGCAACTCCTTTCTTCACAGCGCACCGTTCCTTCGCTGCTTGAACGTTTTCCACTGCCTCCGCATGTGGACTTTTCTAACCCCTCTAGTCCGTAGGAACCCTTACCTGCGGATTTCAAGTATCTTCATCATTGCCAATCATGGCCTATTTACAATGGAATATACGCGGCCTCAGGGGTAATCGGGGTGAGCTTCAGATGTTACTCTCCCAGTTTGCCCCTGTTGGTGTTTGCTTACAGGAACCAAAATTACACTCTGCTGTTATTTCTCCCATCTCAGGCTATAATTTATTGTATTTTTCAGATCCTTTTCCTGATGGGACCTTTAATGAAAGTGCCCTTCTTCTACGCACTGATATTCCGTACCATCAGCTATTTGTTCATACTTCGCTGCATTACACAGCAGCCCGTATCCACTTACGTAGGTGGTATACGCTCTGTTCTTTATATCTCTCTCCTTCTCGGGCATTATCTATTCCGGATATTGCCTTCCTTGTTTCGTCATTACCGCCACCGATTCTGTTACTTGGTGATTTTAATGCCCACCATTTCCTCTGGGGGGTCTCACTGTGATTCCCGTGGAATTCAGTTAGAGGCTTTTCTTGCCACCCACCCCCTCCATGTTTTAAATACAGGTACTCACACCCATTTTGATCCTCGGACTCATACTTTCTCTTGCATCGATCTCTCAGTCTGCTCTTCCTCCGCCGCATTAGACTTCACTTGGTCTGTTCTCCCGGACTTACATGACAGTGATCATTTCCCAATCATTCTTACTTCCCCTTCATATTCGCCACCTTCTTCGCACCCCACGCTGGCAATTTAATCGGGCAAATTGGAAACCTTTACTCACACCTAACTGTTTTTAAAGAGGTTCCTTCTTCGTCCTCCATCGATGAGCTTTTACACCTCTTCTCGTCCTCCGTTTTCACCGCAGCTTCTCATTCTATACCCCAAACTTCGGGCAGGCATTCTCAGAAATGCGTGCCTTGGCGGTCTCCTGCTTGTGCTCATGCAGTACGTTTGAAACGCGCTGCATGGGGCAGGTACCGGTACAATAGAACCACAGAGAGACTCCTTGATTTTAAACAGAAGCGTGCGATCGCTCGCCGTGTCATCCGTGACGCTAATCGCACTTGCTGGCGAGATTATGTCTCCACCATCACCTCTGCTTCCTCTATGAGTGCAGTCTGGAAAAAAAGTACGAAAACTGAGTGGTAAATATTCTCCTGTCCCGGCTCCTGTTCTGCGGGTTGCCGGTGTTGATATAGCAAACCCACTAGATGTTGCCAATGAAACTGGCAATCATCTGGTCCGTATTTCTCAGGGACTCCATTTATGCCCCTCATTTTTTTCCTCAAAGTCTGCCAGAGAGTTAGCACCCTTGGACTTTTCTTCTCTCAGAGAAGAACAGTATAATGTGCCTTTTACACTTTAAGAACTGGATGCAACACTCTCAGCTTGTCGATCATCGGCAGCTGGGCCCGACGACATTCATATTCGTATGCTACAACATTTACATCAGTCAGCCCTTGCAGTCCTATTACGCCTTTACAATCTTATTTGGTCACAAGGAGTTCTTCCACAGCTGTGGAAATCCGCCATTGTTCTCCCTTTCCGCAAACCAGGCACTACGGGACATGAAACCTCCCACTATCGTCCCATTGCTCTTACCAGTGCAGTTTGCAAAGTAATGGAACGCCTAGTAAATAGACGTTTAGTGTGGTATTTAGAGACACTCAACAGTCTCTCCACTCGTCAATATGGCTTTTGTAAGGGACGTTCTACCATAGACCCCTTACTATGCTTGGATACGTATGTTCGTAATGCCTTTGCAAATAACCACTCAGTTATTGCCATATTTTTTGACTTTGAGAAGGCATATGACACAACTTGGAGGTATAATATTTTAGCCCAAGCCCACTCCTTAGGCCTTCGAGGCAATCTACCATCCTTCCTTAAGAACTTTTTAACTGACAGGCATTTCCGTGTTCGGGTTAATAATGTGCTCTCCCCGAACTTTATCCAAGCTGAAGGTGTCCCTCAGGGATGTGTTCTGAGCACAACACTTTTTCTCCTTGCTATTAATGATTTGGCCTCTAGTCTTCCATCAAATATTTGGTCATCACTCTATGTTGATGACTTCGCTATTGCCTGTGCAGGCGCTGACTGTCACCTCATTACAGTTTCTCTCCAACATGCAGTCGACCGTGTTTCCAATTGTGCCACCACACGTGGGTTTAAATTTTCCAGCACTAAAACCCACCAAATTACTTTCACTAGACGCTCTGTCATCTCCGATCATCCTTTGTACCTCTATGGCTCCCGTATCCCTGAACGTGATACAGTCAAGTTTCTGGGCCTCCTCTTTGATCGTAGGTTATCCTGGAAACCTCACATTACCTCTCTGAAGGCAACTTGTCCACAGCCGGCTGAACCTTCTTAAAACCCTTGCTCATCTTTCATGGGAGCTGATCGTCGAACCCTCCTTCGCCTACATTCCACCCTTATTTTATCGAAACTTGATTATGGTGACCAGATCTATTCAGCGGCACCTCCTGCTACTCTCTCTAGCCTTAACCCCATTCATCACCAAGGATTACGTTTATGCCTTGGTGCTTTTTCGCTCTTCCCCTGTCGAGAGCCTCTATGCAGAAGCGAACGTTCCATCCTTATCCGATCGCCGTGATGCCCATTGCCTGCGCTACTATGTACGCTCTCATGATCTCCGCAATCCTTCCATTTATAGAATGGTCACTGATATTAGTAGACATTCTTTATTTGTTCGCCGCCCCTGTTTACTCCGTCCCTTCTCTCTTCGCCTTCATTCGCTCGTCTTCTCTTCAACTACCACCTTTCTATGTACATGTAGCATCTCACTTTTCCCTACCCCCCTGGGAAGTTCCAGCTGTTCGAGTCTGTTCTTTCTCCCTCCCTTGCTCGAAAGCCCAACTGTCTACGGTCGCTTTCCCGCTCTCTTTTTCTTGACCACTTTCACTCTCATTCTCATGCCATTGCTGTGTACACAGATGGCTCTTAAGTCTTCTGACGGCGTAGGATTCGCAGCAGTGTTTCCGGACAGCGTCGTACAAGGGCATTTACTATCTTCGGCTAGTATTTTAACTGCTGAATTATATGCCATCCTTACAGCACTTATCCGTATTGCATCTATGCCTGTGTCATCATTTGTGGTTGTCTCAGACTCCCTTAGTGCTTTACAGGCTATACAAAAATTTGATACACCTCACCCCTTAGTCCTCTGTATCCAACTTTGGCTACGCCGCATCTTTACCAAGCATAAAGATATTGTTTTTTGTTGGGTCCCTGGTCATGTTGACGTACAGGGCAATGAACAGGCAGACACTGCTGCGCGGTCAGCAGTACATGACCTACCAGTTTCTTATAGAGGTATTCCCCTCAAGGAAGGTTCCTTGATGTTGGTGAGGGGCTCTTGATTTAGGGAATTGGATCCGTGCTCCAGTTCCCCGAATTAAGCCTGAATGCCTTCCACATCCCCCCCCCAGGCACTGTATAATCCTCCGGGTTTAGCGCTTCCCCCTTGATTATAATAATAATAATAATTATAGAGGTATTCCATTTACGGACTATTTTGCTGCAATATCTTCCCACCTTCACACCCGTTGGCAACAACGTTGGTCTACTATGCTCGGCAACAAACTTCAATCTATTAAACCGAGTATAGGTTACTGGCCGTCTTCTTATCACCAGTGTCGAGGTTGGGAGACTACTCTCTCCCGTCTTCGCATTGGCCATACTCGTCTTACTCATGGATATCTCATGGAGAGGCGTCTTGCTCCTCTCTGTGAGAATTGCCAAGCTCCATTATCAGTCAGCCACATTCTTTTGGACTGCCCACTATCAATGAGCACGCAGAATTTACCTCTGTCGTCGTCTTCGCTCCGCTGCTCTCTCTTTACCTTCCCTTCTCGCTGATGGACCCACCTTTCATCCGAACTCTCTCATTGACTTTTTGACAACAACTGACTTACTTCACAAATTCTGATACCTTCAGCCTTTCTACTTCAATCTCTTGCTACCCTCTACCCCCGTACTATCCCCTGCCCCGCTGTTTTCTGTAACCTGCTGATCATCCCTCCTCCCTTCTGCCATCCAATACCCTCGCTTCCTTCCCTACCCTGCAGTGCTGTATAGCCCTTGTGGCTTAGCGCTTCTTTTTTATTATAATAATAATAATCATGTAAAATCTATTGACTTCATCTTATGGGCTATCACTCAAGATTGTATTTGTCAAATGCCTTAGTAAAGTCTGTAGACATTGGCATTTTAGTTTTCTTCCATAACCTCCATAATTTTGCTTTAGTAGTTGTACTAATAATGATCTACCAACTAAATCCACGTTGACTTGGATTGTGTAGGTGATGCTTTAACAAAATGTGTGATTTAGTGGCTCACTACCCTTTCAGACGTGTGTTATTGTCCATAATTTTTTGCTAGAGTTCTACTGCCTCATTTTGTGCAGAAGAGTTGTCTGCATATTATAAAGTCTCTGGGATTTCACACAGATCTAATTCTCCAAAGAATACATTGTACAGTACTTATATAATTCATCACTTTGTCTAATTTTGTGGCATTTATTTACTCTGGGGTGTTCCAAGTTTTCCTGTTTCTTGCTCTGAATGTACTGTGTATCATTCTTTAGCATCACCGTTTCTGTCGCACCTATGCTGATCTGCAGGTGTTTTTTACCTTCTCACTAGTGATGTAATTAGTCTATTCCTTCTTTCCACTTCATATACACAGGGTGATCCAAAAGTCTGGACACAGGTAAAATTCCATTTTTGTAATAATTATACAGCAACTTTAATGAATCCTCAACATGTCCACTATTAGTGATGCAAAGTTCAACGCCCTTTGCAAGATTCGCATGAACACCATGCAGTAACTCTGGTAACTGCAGGAAAAAATAATTATAGTAGTGTCCAGACTTTTGGGTCACCCTGTACTGTACTTGGTGTTTTCCCAAAGAAAGACTGTGATTATTATTATTCAATACATGTCATACCTGCCCAAGCTCCATCACATACAAATCCAGCAACACTAACCTTGCTTAATCTCATTGCTAGCACAAGCTACACGACACTTTATACATTACATTGTGGAATTTTTCAGTAAATTCTTTGTCACACTGCCCACTGGTTCTATAAACAATTTGATGTAACAATTCCTTGTATTACAAAAATATAATAATGATAAATATGAATTTCAGAATTGAATTACCTACTTAAAAGCATTTATTTCTCTCCATTCTCACCTGTTTAAATTATATTATTGATCCAAATGATTCTTGACAAAGATTTTAGTTAAGCATTCAGTTTTACCTATTTTATATGGTTGATCCAAAAAAAATCAACCAGTGATATATGTATATCTTCACTAACTTTGGTACTGAAGTACAAAAAAAGGGCAGACAGCACTTACTGTCTTTCAGCTTGTGACAAGAATGAGTGCAAAGATATAAAGGATACTCACAGTAGCAGCAGCGAGGCCCACCATTAACATAGCTACCACAGCTGCCCTCCATCTTCCCATACGGAATGCGGGTCCAGTAGTGCAGCTTGTGCCCACCAAGTACCCTATGCTGTCTGGGATGAATGCTGTTCCTAGTTGCCACTTCTGAAAAAAAAAGAAAAAAAATTACTGAGATGTAATTCATCTTACCTTTATGAATGAGACGTATGTTCATCTAAAAAAGTGCTACAACCATTTGGTTATTCAGCACTTTGCATATAAAGTTGCAGACATTATCAATTAGGTACCACCAATACCAATTACATACAACTATATACATGTATTTACATTACATGTACTGTATTATATACATAGGGAAAGAGCTAAACCCACAGGGATCATGCAGTGTCTGGGGAATGGGAGGCAATTAAGTTTAATCCAATAGGAAAATAAGTCCAGTTCCTCGGATCAAGAGCCTCTTGCAAACCCTTGAGGCATCAGCCCCCACCATGGGGAGGTGTCTTGATGCCCAAAAAGCTCACGATAAAAAAAAAAACTGGACCTATTACTCCTTTCCTGGGATAAAACCCAACTGCCTATTTCCCTACGACCTGTATGACCCCCACAGATTTAGCGCTCCCCCCATGAATGTAATAATGTGTGATGAAATATGACGAAGTTAATAAACTCATTTCATGATGGGTGCTAAATAAGCTTCTTTAGCATCAAAATTAAATACACCACTTTATGCAACTACCCCAATCCATGACATCTTACAAGGTTACATCAAGAAGGAACTATGCTTACCTCGCAACCATCACGGGATAATATTCCTGTTATACTCCATTACACAAGATGGTTCTCACTCATGAGATAATGTAAAGTACGTAGTGTCAGCCTGAGCTGGGAGATTTCAATGCGAATATCGTCAAACATTTCACTATGGGCTCAGTACTTACGAAAAATCTACTGGTTTTCTATCAGCACCCACGAAAAATCTGCAGTTTTTTTTAATCATGATTAATGTGAGCCCTAAACCTAACCCTGTGTAGAAGACAGTGAGTTAGTGTCAATTACTACTGTGAATAAAGTTTTAGCTGACCTGGGGGTGAAGGGTGTCGGTAAGCCAAATGGGAAGACAGGGTTCCAGTACAGCCATGGCTGATGTGCTCACCATGATGGCTCCAGCAGTCACTAGGATGTATGGGTCCCGCACCAGGTTCACCAATGGAGTTCCCTCTACTACACGCTACTCCAACCACACCACACATCGAGGCAACAGGCCAACCAGAAACAGTAAAGTTAAAGTATTATGGTAACATATCAGTGATTGTAATGAGTAAAAAAAAAAAGTATAATTAGAAAATGAAAAAAGGCAATTTAAATACTAGACAAAAAGTTGGGAATGCCAATTGATTAGTGTCATCTTTAAAAGCCAATGATATGCAAATCAGTAAGGGTTCAAATCACATCTACGAAGGTATGGTTGATTGATGCCTGAGCTTTAAAATGTCATACACATACTCATTACTCTGGCATTGCTGATCTGACATCTAACCATTCATTTATAATGGCCATTTTGTGTATAGCCACTGCTACCTCACTAGGCAAAAAACTAAACTAGACATATTTCAGTCGCTCCGTGATTCGAGAAAGATATCCTCGTATTTCACAAGTCCAACCCCATCTACCTCAATGCATGCAAAAGGAATAGTAGAGTGCGGTATAAATTTCTATTGTGATTAAATATTTAAATACCTAAATAACAAAGAAAAGCACAATACTGTGATCGATACACAAATAACCCGCACATAGAAGAGAGGAGCTTACGTTTCGATCAGACTTGAACCATTTACAAAGTCACACTAACGCAAAGGAGAGCGGGAAGGGTATATATAGGCAGGAGGTGGTGGTGGTAGTAGTAGTAGTAGTAATAGTAATAGTAGTAGTAGTAGTAGTAGTAGTAGTAGTAGTAGTAGTAGTAGTAGTAGTAGTAGTAGGGAGGTAGTAAGAGGAGGAAGAGCCAGCCAAATACTAAGAAAGAGGAGCACTGCAAGGGAGCTAGGTGCCCACAGAAGGTATGAGCAAGAACACCGAGGGAGGGAAAATAAAGAAGGAACAAATACACAGGACAGAAGACAACCCAAAGGAGAAAAAGGAAAGCTCCTCTCTTCTATGTGCAGGTTATTTGTGTTTAAATACCTAAGTATGATCACCTGAATATAATTTGGCAAATTTGCACTTACACAGGCTAAACAAAAAAAACGTATCATCCTTTTCATAAGATTGATTTGCCATTCAAGATTCAAGCTGATGAAAACCCGAGCAAGTTAATTTACAGGAAAATACAACCTGGAGTTTACCTGGAGAGAGTTCCGGGGGTCAACGCCCCCATGGCCCGGTCTGTGACCAGGCCTCCTGGTGGATCAGAGCCTGATCAACCAGGCTGTTACTGCTGGCTGCATGCAAACCAACGTACAAGCCACAGCCCGGCTGGTCAGGTACCGACTTTAGGTGTTTGTCCAGTGCCAGCTTGAAGACTGCCAGGGGTCTGTTGGTAATCCCCCTTATGTATGCTGGGAGGCAGTTGAACAGTCTCGGGCCCCTGACACTTACTGTATGGTCTCTTAATGTGCTAGTGACACCCCTGCTTTTCATTGGGGGGATGTTGCATCGTCTGCCAAGTCTTTTGCTTTCGTTGTGAGTGATTTTCGTGTGCAAGTTCGGTACTAATCCTTCTAGGATTTTCCAGGTGTATATAATCATGTATCTCTCCCGCCTGCATTCCAGGGAATACAGGTTCAGGAACTTCAAGCGCTCCCAGTAATTGAGGTGTTTTATCTCCGTTATGCGCGCCGTGAAGGTTCTCTGTACATTTTCTAGGTCAGCAATTTCACCTGCCTTGAAAGGTGCTGTTAGTGTGCAGCAATATTCCAGCCTAGATAGAACAAGTGACTTGAAGAGTGTCATCATGGGCTTGGCATCCCTAGTTTTGAAGGTTCTCATTATCCATCCTGTCATTCTTCAGCAGCTGCAATTGATACAGTGTTATGGTCCTTGAAGGTGAGATCCTCTGACATGATCACTCCCAGGTCTTTGACGTTGGTGTTTCACTATTTTGTGGCCAGAATTTGTTTTGTACTCTGATGAAGTTTTAATTTCCTCGTGTTTACCATATGTGAGTAATTGAAATTTCTCATCGTTGAACTTCATAATGTTTTCTGCAGCCAACTGAAAGATTTGGTTGATGTCCGCCTGGAGCCTTGCAGTGTCTGCAATGGAAGACACTGTCATGCAGATTCGGGTGTCATCTGCAAAGGAAGACACGGTGCTGTGGCTGACATCCTTGTCTATGTCAGATATGAGGATGAGAAACAAGATGGGAGCGAGTACTGTGCCTTGTGGAACAGAGCTTTTCACCGTACTGCCTGGGATTTGACCTGTTGACTACACTTGTGTTCTTTTTGGAGGAAATTATAGATCCATCTACCAACTTTTCCTGTTTTTCCTTTTGGGGCACGCATTTGTGCGCTTTTACCCCATGGTACACTTTTTGAAGGCTTTTGCAAAGTCTGTAATATTACATTGATTCTTTTGTCTTCTAGTGCATCCAGGACCTTGTCGAGTGATTCCAAAGTTGAGAGACGGGAGCGACCTGTTCTAAACCCCATGTTCCCCCTGGGTTGTGTAATTGATGGGTTTCTGGGGGTGCGATTTTGCTTCTTAGGGCCCCCTTTCAAAGTTTTTTGATAGGGATGTTATGCTATGGGTCTGTGTTCATTGCTATTGCTTTACTCCCCCCTTTGTGGGGGGGGGGCTATGTTGTTGCTTTTAGAAATGTGGGACGCCCCCGTGTCCATGCTCCCTCTCCATGGGAGGAAAAAACCCGTATGAGGCTTCTTGCAGTTCTTGTTTGAACGGGATTTTCCATGAGTTGGGCCCTGGGGCAAAGTGCATGGGCAGTCATTTATCGCCTGTTCAAAGTCATTTGGGTCAGGATAACATAGATAGGCTTGCGTTAACCAATTCTGTGCCCCTCATAAAAAATTATTTTAAAACTTCGCTCTCAGTGGGGTTCGGTTGCTAAAAACGAGTCATTTTATTTATACTCATCTTTCCTTTGCTGTCATCTGTGTAGGACTGGGGAAACGTTGTTCTCGACTTTGTTTTGGCATTTAAAAATAAAATTAGAAAAAATGTCACCTACACACCCAATATTTCCCAGCCTTCCCCAAGTAAGACCAATATTGAGGGTTTGAAGCAGTTAGAGAGGTTTTTTCTCAAGTTAGTGTGCAGAAACCCACAACGGGAAAAGACGTTGATATAAAACTACCAGGGAATGCCATAGTTTCAAGCCCTTACCCGTTATATTTTTAACAGAAGTGTAAAATAAATCGAATGGGGTGTTTTCAAGTAGTAAAAAAAAAAAAAGAGGAAAAAAAATCAGGCCGAAAACCTAAAGGTTCCCTTGGGGGATCCCTAAAATGTTGCATTGACTTAAGGGCAAGAAAAAAAATTCAGTGATCACTCTCTAATTGGTACAACTTGAAAACCTAAGACTGCAAAATTTAATGATTTTTGTAAAAAAAAACTTTTTAATTAAAGTAAAAAAAAGGGGAAACGTTAACATACTCGCGGGAAAATTTTTACTTCAAAACAGAGCTAGACAAATAAAAAAATTTTTTTCTTCAGGGCCAGTGTTTTTGGCTCAACTTATAGGAATATCCAGCTTTGGAAGATTTTATTTTTATTATTATTATTATAACAAAAAAAACGTAAGCCCCAAGGGCTTACAGCGGGAATATTTTTAGCTTGGAACAGTTTTGTGCACGAGGACGGTGATCCGTTGACCTTCGTCGCTTTTTTTAATAAGTAATCCTCATCTACAAAGGAAGTAACCACACAATTTTGAAGCCCCCTCAGGTGTCCCAAAAAGAACAGAATTATGGGATACGGGGGGGGGCTTTTCCGGATTACGCAATACCGAAGTAATTAGGCCCCAAATCATTACGCAAAAAACCGAAGTACATTTGGCTAAAGTTATATTTATTTCATACAATATAATTTTTTTCATTATCATTAAAGTATTATACGACATACATCAATGCAGTTTACCCCAGTTAGGCCGCGGGGCCAACACCACCAGCGTACCACTGTGGGCAAGAAAAATTACAATCACTTCTTGAAGATTTTCCTTTTTCATAAAACACTGGATCCGGGGGGGGGGCTTACAGCAATTCAAATTGACAACGAAGTTTGCGACCCTGTAATGCTTAGAGAAGCAACTTGACTTTTATAATGCATTTTTTTTTTTTTTGAAGGTTTGGGGAAAGCTAATAAAAGCAATACTACAGCTAAAAGAGCGGTGGGGTAACCACCCCCAGGAAGGGAGGGGGTTTTTGAACTTAAAAGTCGTAGAGGAACTTCCCAGGGGAGCCACCAGGACACCCAGGCGATGCCACCCTTACCAGTCCCTGGATCGTCCCCCTCCTCGTCCCACTGTAACATTTGCTATGAGCCCATGCCTGCTGGACATAAAGCTTAAAGTGGGGTTAAACGGAAGGTTAGGTTGATGTGGGAATGCAAAAAAGTGTCCCGATTCTAATCCCAGGGGAAAAAGTAAAAAATATGAATTAAATAATTAGACTTTGTAAAGGACATAAAAAAGGGGATTTTAAAAGCGAATTTTAAAAAATCTAACCAAGATGGACTCGCAGGGAAGGATTAAAATTGAAAAAATTTTGATTTAGTTTGGCAAGGTTGTGGGATGAAATACACTCTCAAGTTGGTCAGTGAGGCAAGAACTTGGGTAGCTTTTTAAATTGACGACACGGACATGATGGGTGGAGGAAGGGTTGTACCGCCCAAACCGGGGTTTGTAGATACGGTAATGTTCAACCTTTTTCTTGTTGTACAGTTAGGTAGCCTGTTTCGCACTTCAAAGACATCATTCCTCGCGTTAAATAAACCACACGGGTTTACCACTTTATGTAAATTAATAATCCGGTTTGGCTAAATAAATACTTGCATGCATTTTACAATGTCATACCTGACATCATAACTGCGTGCATAGTACTCTATCTTTGGATAATGCTACTGTGTTAAACTAAGCTAGAGCAATGGAAATTATTTTCACATGAAAATAAACACTCAAATTAGGGAAACATGATAGGCTAGATCAAATAATATGGGACCAGGACAATTTTGTCTGAAAGCGTTTTTTATTTCAATAAAGTAATTGAAAAGATTCTAAAAGCGTGTTTAATGGCATCCAGACAATGCAAAAGTATAGATATATATAAAAAATACATACATTAGTACGTACGGCGATGGCATGCAAGAAGAAGGCGACACCCTGGAGACTGCGGGGCGAGAAACATCAAGTGTAGCTTCTCAGCGTAGGCAAAACACTGTGGTCCAGGCTCTGTGATTAGTCTCGTTCCTCAGTTTTAGTCAGTGTGGTTACTATTCTCCATAGTAAGCATAAATTAAAAAAAAACTATAACAAAAGGCCCCTACTTCCTTAACATTGTATGATGGGTTTTTGCTCAAGAAAAGGATTCCTGACGGGTCAGGAATGATCAGCTTAGTAATTAAGAGCTTCTGGCTAAATACTGGAGCCTGGCTTTCGATCCCATATTAAAAGCAAAATTTCATAGTGTCCTAGTATTAAGCTACAATGAAAAGGCAGAGGGTTTGAAGCCTTTTTTGGTCTGTTGAGGCTAGAGCATTATCATGAATATCAAATGGGATACAATACCGACAGTGAGTTGGTAGGTAAAGAAACATAGGCAACAGTTAGGCAACTTTATTCCGAAACGTTTCGCCTACATCAGTAAACTGTAATGCAATACAAGATATAATATTACACAAACTTCATCGAATGAAACTCATCAATGAAATCACATGAGATTACACAATAGAAGGATAAAAAAAAAATTTTTTGATCGATCGATCCGTATTCATGTGATCTACGGATTTCTGGAAGGAATATATACAAAGAAGAAGAGTCGTTTAACAGAAAGGCAGATTCGGTGCACTCAAATCTAGACTGTTAACTCTCAGAATTCGGATGGGAGAACGTGAACACACAAAAAAATCTTGAATACTGATAAGTTGATACTGTAATTATTCCTCTATACTAGGTTATTTACATTTAACCCCCAACTTGCTAGGGTAAGATTGAACACATGCAGAGAAATGGGTGTGCATCTCTGGGAGGAATCAAAAACTCTGTTGCACCTGGCTAACTCCATGACTGTAATTTGAGGAAAATCTGAATTGGAAAAAGTAACAATGATACTTGCGGGGTTTTCAATACCTGTCGTGTACGTAGCGGAAATTTGAATAACGTCATTCAGGGTGATTGTCTGATCTGAGTATAAGAGGAAGAGAGTACAGGATCAGGAGGATTGTCAGTGTCTGTCACATTAGTAGGGTTGGAAACACTTATCATATTACATACTACTTCAATGATCTAAAATGCGATTCTTTATACTGACAGTACTAATTTCTCTTTCCTTTTTACTTTTACAGTGATATAGTTCAATACTCGATAAGGATCCAAACAAACTTTGATCATGCTTTGGCTGATTTTGCAGACGTTTTTGTTTCAAGTTTAGTCAGCATAATCTCGAGACCTACTTTGATTTTGGATGGCTTTGCTCGAGTGTTTGCGACTCTTGTGTAAATTCTGTCGTGTTGTTTTATGAGTGTTTCAGGATCTTTCTAAAAACACTTTGAGGCTAAGCTGGTACGAGTTGCTATGAAATCATCAGGGTAGTAAATTGGTTCGGATTAGAATATAGCAACTCATTAAGGTCAAACGTGTTTTATCTACACCGTACAATGCATAATTTTGGAGTGTCACCTATAGAAACATTGTAAGTCAGAATTTTAGCACACTGCATCATCAGGTATAACTTAATCCCAAGTTTCATGCTTGGGATGATAGTGGCTCTCAAAGACATCAAGTTACTTTCTTATAGTTCGTTCCGCTAACCCATTGCTTGGCAGGAAGATGATGAGGAACAATGGTGTGATTTAGAGATCTTTTGTACATGTTCGCACAATATTTTCAGAATCTCTTTACAGATATTCACTCATTATCTGTTACTAGGGTACTTAGGGGTGGTTTTGCCTTGCAGGTAATGAGTTCTTTAAACGCTTTAGCTTTACTGTCTCGGCTAGGTCTTTATTGCTGCAATAGTGAACTAACTCACAATATTTGGTGAAATGGTCTACCATAACACACAGATGCTTTGTTGCCTTTTGGGTGGAATAACATTGGAATTTAGTTATCAAATTCTTAGCCGTGCGCAAACTCAGTCCTCACGGTTCGTCTGTAGTAGTTTGATACACTTGGAATTGGATTTCAGGGCCATTGCATTACCTTTTGTTGCATGCAGACAACTACATTTCTTAACATTTCTCAGATATATCAGTTGCCATACGAGGCCAAAGTATTTCAATCTGGCTTGTTTTTTACTGAACGATCCATACCAGGGTTGTTGCAACGTCCTGGTACATCGTGAACTAGCTGTAAGGTACATTCACTATTGACTGTGGAATTTACTAACTGTATACTCTTCTCGCCTAGGAGTACCCAACTCGGCTGTTCGATACATAATTCTTGGTTCTGACAAAGTCGCTGATGGATGCTGTGTGGCTTCACAGTCAGGAAATAAGATCTTTCCTGGTAGCAGGAAACGAATCACACCAGACCACATGGGATCTGTTCGGTTGAGCATTCTTTACATCTTCAGCACTAAATGGAGGGTCTGCAGTTTACTATTATCTAACATGTCTGTCGATTAAGGCGATCTGCGACTTACATTTGATTGCAGGTTAGAAAGTGTTTTTCAAATGGGTGGGATTGAACTCTTGGATAGTCATAGGTCCATCTGGTTTACCTTCCAGTAGTTTGTTTGTTCTGGAAATAAAGGTATCAGTGGAGCATGGTCTGTCATGATACCTGAACAGTAGTATGATAAATAAGTCTCGGAAGGCTTTAAAAGACCTTACTATTGGGTAAAGCTTCTTGCTCAGTTACTGTTATAATTACGTGTTTCAGCCTTCGTAAGATCTCGGCTTAGCAAATGCAACTTGCGTCTGTACTTGCATGGTCTTCTGAGTAATACTGGCACCTAGGCCAATGAATCTAGCAGTTCAGTTTTGGGTCAGATTGAATGGGCTTTAGAAAAAATCTGGAAATTTCAAAATTGGAGCAGATGTTAGCTTTTCTTTTCGAGTTTGAATGCTCTTTCTTGCGGAAGTGTCTCAAACGAAAAGTGCATCTTTCTGGAAGCGCCAACTCTAAGTTAGAGGAGCAGCTATGGAAAGAAAATATTGGCAATAAAAGATCTATAAAAATCCTGTCTAAGCCCACAATGGAATCTTATGGCATCAGCAGTTTTGGGAGTTGGAAAATTTAGTACTGTGAGTTACTTTACTTTTGGTCAGTCGTAACCCCTTAGGGTGGACTACGTGATCAAGAAAAAAAAGTAAACGTAATTTCTGATCTGAAAATTGACATTTAGACAGTTTGATCTTTTAAAGTTGGCGCTTCTTCTGAAGACTTTCCAAGTACTACTCAAGTCTTTTCAAGTGTGTATCCACGTCTTTAGACATGACGATTACGTCATTAAGAACACGCCAAGTGCGCATTACCTTATGAGACCTCTAAAGATATTCGTCATTGAGCCTTGAGAACGTGATAGGGGAGGATCGTAATCCAAACGCCACACGGAGGAAGAGATAATGACGTAGGAGTGGAGAATGCAGTTAGCTCTTGGCTGCCTCGTGAAGAGGGACTTTGCCAAAAACCCTTGTAACAAGATCCAGGGTTGAAAAGACTTTGTTATCTCCTGATGTACGGTAAAGAAGATTCACACAGTACAGGAAGTGGAAGCGATCTGGAATGGTTTTCGCATTTAACTTCCTAAAGGTCAATTATGGGGCGCCAAGTACCATCCTTCTTAGGTACTAGGATCAAGGTGCATTCCAAGGTGAATGCTAGGATGCAATAACTCCATAATCAAAGCATTTGAATGTTTCAATTCTTCTGTGCGACAGCAACTTGTGAATGTGGCATTCTGTACGCAGGATGTAGATAGGTATAGTACCAGGTTCATTGGAAATACGATGGGGAGCAATAAGTTCGTTTTACCCACTTCTCATACTGGTAAGGCAATCGGCTTACGACTTTGTTCAACAGAGTCAACAACACGCTTGACTTCAATCTGGGAAGTCAGTGGGAGTCTAAGCTTCTCCTCACAGACTGGTGAAACAGATTGTTGTCCAGTGAAGTGGATGAGTTCCCCGGCAGAAATAGCACCGACCCACGGAGTCAGGTGACAACTCATCCTCTACCTGAACGTGTGGGTTAAAGGAAGTTGAACAAGGTCAACAAGACTGGGTATTAGTCTCTATAGACGAACACTGGACAGAGAAGTTTAGAGCTAGGAAGAAATGGTATGCTTTACTATCTCTTACAACATTTGTAAGGATGGTTCAACAAATAGACTTTTACTTTGTGCAATGAATTCACTGTCAATAGGCCGTATCACCATCTGGAAACTGACTAGATACAACAACAGATCACTCTGTGAGGACACTAGCTGGCGACAGAAACGTTCTGTTTCAGCAGGACGGGTGCATGTGACATCAAAAGTGAGATGGCATTCTCTAGTTGCAGTATTTGTTTTCCGACAAAGGCGTCCCCTGTGGAGGAAACATTATTACTTGAACGAGCAGTAATAGCAGGGGATAGGGCTCAGCATCAAGGTTAGTCAGAGCGTCCTCGGACACTTGAGGTAACTGGACATATTTGCAAGTCTGAAGTTTGCTAAGGAACACAGACAGGAGTGACAGGATTCAGTGCCTGACGCTTGGGTTGTCGCTACTGGCAAATGCACTGGCCTGTAAGAGACTTAATTCGATTGTGTCTTTACTCTGCGGCAGTCTGGCAGATCTCGGTGAATCAAGCTGGTAACTGGGTTACTATGGAACTTGTACTACACTGGAGCTACACAGTAGGCTTCTTCAGTCGAAATACAGAAAGTAGGGCAGGGGAACATTAGAGATTGTGAAGTACGAATGGGAATCAGTCTATCACCTTAAAGTTAGTAGATTTGGGGGTTGTCAGCCCCTCAGCCTGGAGAAGTTCAGTTCCATAGTCAGGAACTATCTGAAAAATCAAGTGACAGTGCGGAGACTAAATACTGTCGGAAAGAGAGGTGCAGAGCAGTAGTAGTGAGAAAGCAGTCACTAAGGAGGACACGCCCCCTCACTGAAAAAGTTGTCCAAGGTGTTTTCTGTACCAAGATGCCATTGTGTTGCAGTGTCTGACAGGATGAATATAAAAATGGTATACAATACCGACAGGTTGGTAGGTAAGACACATAGGCATTTATCATTATTATTAGTAGTAGTATTCGAAAGTACTAAAAAAGAAGGGGGTCCCACAGCGTCTGGTAATTATTTTTGATCAAAAAGGGCAGCTCCAATTCCTTACAGAGCCCTTAACGATCCTAAGGGCACCCCCCTACTCCTTGAATAGAGGATAATTACAGTCGAGATATCCTAAAAAAATCCGTTTCTTCTGTATATGGGACAAGTTATCCTACGAGAAGGTAATTCCCAAGTGATAGTAACTCTCACACTGGTGGAACGAAAACCTTCGCCGCTCCTGCAGCTAATGAACCCTCACTGTTTTACTGAAGCCTCCCAGCTCAGGCTGACAGCTTTCAACAACGTATGAACCTCATCCTGAGTGGATGGATGGAATATGACGGGGAAAAATAGCCCTTTATTCAGACCGAAACTATCATACACTGTAGAAAAGGGTAGCAGTACACTGCTGATGTACCCAATCTTGCCAAATAAAAGAAAAATAACCCCAGTCCAACTTACCGTGGTTCTTCCCGTTTCTAAGTAGCTACCCATCTATTGACTGGGAAGACACAATGGCACCTGACTGACTTGACCGAAACGGTGCACCTGTCTTGTGTAGGTTTCAATCGTTCAGAGTAATGTACTATAGTTAAAGAAGTCTGACAAATACGACAAAAAAAGATAACCCGTGTTGCACACCTCTTATCATTAAGAAATCTACTGCATAGCCCTCTTTTTTATCATAAAACGTGCAGAGAATATCCACTAATAGAAAACAGCGATATAAAGGCATAAATTAAATTTTCAAGGCCAACACTATTCAGTATAGTATATTAATTAATGCCCTGCTAAAACACTGGTCGAAGTTTCGATCCGCCCTGAATTGTCAGGTGGACCGAAACGCTGTCCAGGTTTACTTGTGAATCTTTTCAGTTATTTCCTTTACATGTATTGGTAAAGTACTCACGGAGAGCTGAGAGAATGAGGTTGTGAGTGCCCACAACTAGCGGGAAGGAGTAACCGACGTGAGCGGTGAGGGGCCCCACCAGTGGATTCACTACCAGCTGCACCAGAGCCTTGGACGAGAAGAGCAATCCCACCCGCCCGTTCTCAGCGATGATGTCTTGTGGAAGCTTCTTGTCCTCCCTTGCTAAAGCTGAGACTTTCTGAGGCTCCTGCTGACGCCTCGAGCCATCGTTAACTTCGTGTCTCGAAATGTGTTGTGTGGTCGTTGTTTTATGTGAGTTAGCCAGCTGAAGTGTCTTTTCCAAAGAGTGCTGGGGAACTTGGGTGCTTCCAGGATGAAGCTGCCGGACAGAGACATTGTCATGTGAATAGTGGAATGTGTCTGGAGATACTAAGTTAGTGTGAGTGTTCTGCAGGAGTAAAAGGGGCGAGAGCCCATCGGCACCAGGACATCCCTACGTTGTTTTATTTCTGTTTGGAACGACGACCGGATAGTGAGAGGAAGTGGTCTTGTAGTAGATTTTTAATAGAGCCTTCACCAGTGTTAATTCGTAGAATATTCTTATTGTTTATGTTATGGGAAATTCTATCTTTTATCTCATCTGATCTCTTCGACTGTGTATCTTTCAAAGAATTATAATGTATCTCAGCATTGTCAACGGGTTTTGGAGTCTGCATTTTTAAACGTTTCACGTGCACTAAATCGTCGAAACGTTTGCCGGGATTATCAATGGGTTCAGAAGGATTATCAATGGGCTCCGTAAGATTATCAGAGTCTTGGTTAGGGAGCTCACTCCGGTACCGCTTAAGGTTTCCAGCCAAATTAATTTTCTCGCTGAAATTCATTAGATGTTGCAAAGCTAGTTTTGTATGCATGCTTTGGTAGTCAGACACCACAGAGGGCTTAGCATCTGAGGAAACTTCTACCTGTGGAACAGCCATTATTTCTTTCAATACCGGAGTGGGAAATTTTGGCAGCGTACGAATTTCTGTCATCGAGGCTTCAGATGTGGAGTGAGATGGACGATCCTGCAACTTGGGACTTGAAGAGGTTAAGTCTCGAGAGGAGAGAGTTGACTGGTTGTTATATATGCCCTTGGGCAAAGTCTTGTAGGTGGCGGTCGTTGATGGTATGGTGGTATTAAGATAGGCATCCCTGGCTGTGTGTTGGTGTTCTAGTTGATAGAGATAATCAGGGATGATGGGAACTGTGAACGGAGATACACAGCAACGTTCTTAAATAACATCAATTGATATTTGTATGCATGCTGTACTTAACATTTCAATATTAAAATATAAGAATGGAGGAACACTGTAGCAAGCAAGTTCTCAAACTCAACCATTTCCACCCAGTAAAAAAAAATCCAATATTATTATATTCATGGTAAAGTGATAAGCCTGTACGGGTCATACAGGCATGATTTACGGAAGGGACGAGTTGCTATAATTTCCTGGATTAAGTAAGAGTCTTTATTAGCATCAAGATACCTCCCTGGAAGTGAAACTGCAACATCTGTTTAGCCACTGTAGCCTACAACTACGCAAAGCACTCTTCATTAATATGTCGAGGTAATGTCGTCCGTTGTAATACAAGACAAACTTTATCACTGTATAAAATTAAAGTCCAATTTTCATCTAGGGGAAAAATACTCATGATCTTGAAAGCATTGTGCGAACCTTCGCCCCAGTAATATGGAAACTTCTGTTCAATCATAAGAAACTTGTACACTTAAGAGTGGATTTGCAGTTTTGTGAATATACTAGTAAGAAACTTGCCAACATGTCAAGCAGATCTGATGGTGATAACTTTGGGACACCATCTCCATGACTGAGAATCTTATCCCTATGATTGGGAGGGACCCTCTTACCCACCGTTCTGCGAGAACCTTAACCACCGTTCCGAGGGAACCTTACCCGCTGTCACGCGGGTTTCTTGCCCATGGCCGAGGGGGAACTTTGCCCATGGAGCGGAACCATACCCATGGCGAGGAACCTCTGGCGGGGGTTGCTTTACCCATGGCGGGGATACCTAACCAATGGCGAGAGGAACCTTACCCATGGCGAAGGGAACCCTACCCAGCGTTATAAGGTAACTTACCTACGACTGTGAGAAGCATGTTGTCTAGGACGAGAGCTGCGTAAACGAGCAGGATGACAGTGACAGGACTCCTACGCAGGCCCAACACCTCATCCCGCAGCCCCGCCACTCCAACACCTACCTTCAACATACTCCTGAGGAAGAATGAAGAAAAATAAGGGAATTATTGTGACCGGGGAAACCTCTAGAGAGAGTAGACATGTTATTCGATCCAAGTTAGAGAAGTTTCCAATTCTTTAGATCAAGAACCCTTCACCGGCATCAAGACTCTCTTGAAGGGATGACACATCGCACTGGACCCTTCAAATGTGCAGTGATGCTGGTAAAGGCCTTTTGATAAAAGGAATTGAAGTTACCTCCACTTAAATAAAATCTGATTACTTCCCATTCTACAGGTGTTACAAGACCTTTAGCGCCTCCTCATGAATATAATAAAAGACATGAAAACCGTTTACTTCATTTTAGATCGCCTGACTTCTTATCCCATATTTTTACCATTCCGTTAATTTTAATTTATTGGTTCTTAAAATGAGCCTCTCCTCTTTTGATCCGCCTATTACTGCTGTTGCTACTACAGGGCTACCAGCACACTATTTTTACTATTATTACCCCTGCTATTGCTACTGATATAAGTACTAATATGAATAACAATAAAAATTTCAATAATATTTTAAAAATTTTCTACATCTTTAGATATTTCCTATAATTATCCACACCTTAAATATGCAAGAATTTTTTTTATAATGTTGCTAATACTAAAAGAGGGCATACAAACAGAGGTTGATCACAGTGCATATGCACCAAGGTTGCATTAATAATTAAACCCTATAACAGGGACAAATACAGTACGCTTAACAGATGGAATATAGGGGATATGTACCTTTAAAGTATTTAAACATACACACACAATTATAATTATATATATATATATATATATATATATATATATATATATATATATATATATATATATATAATAATAATAATATTGGGTCGCGTTACATTTGACTGAATGTGAAATATTTATTGGATATGCATATATGATTACATGCGTCTGCTCGAGGGCCTTAAAGCTTCAGCCATACACTGATGCATGTTCTGCTCTTTGCTGTCACCTTGAAATTTAATATCCAACAGAACGAACGAAAGTTTAGGTAAGATCCCAAATGGGATGAGCGGGGAAGACGGGACAGACGAAGAATAGTGCTGGAGAGGAGTGCTTTTTAGTCGTAGAAATAGAGCCAGGGCTTAACCCAGCAGCGAAGGCGATCGTGGGACAGATATTGAGAAGAGAAATTCAGGCTCTTCTGTTGGGACTCCAGTGGGGTGAGCGGGGAGGAAGGGACATGCGACGTTTAGCGCTAGAGAGGAGTGTAGAACTGGACCATGTCTTAACCCAAAAGCTAAGGCGAACGTGGGTCAGAGAATGGTACCTGTCATAGAAGGTACCTGTCAGCGAATCCAAGGTTATTTGTAAATAGGGTTTGGAGCAGGATCATGCAAGGAGTAGAAAAGGTTGTGTTGGTTTGTAGGTCTGCGAATGTCTTCAAGGAGAGTGGTCCAGTAGTCATGTCGTGTCTCAAGTTTGTCTATCTGTCTGTCACTGAGCGTCTTCCAGTACAGATTCAGCGCAGGGATGTCTAATTGCGCATGGACAGACTCGCTTGTGGCGAAGTCTTCCCACCTGACATCAAGCACCCAGCGCAGCGCCTTGTTCTGGACACGCTGCAGTTTAAGTAAGTTTGTTTTTGCTGCAAGAGAAAGGGCTAGAGGAGAGCAAGTTATCAGAGGACGAATTAGGGATTTGTAGAGGTGTAGTTTGGTGCGTTGAGAGGCATGTTTCAGCTTGTAGAGGCCCGCAAGGGCCTTACTAGCTATTGCATGCCTTGAGTGAATGTGTCCGTGTAAACGAAGAAGGTAGTCAAGGTTAACGCCAAGGACAGTGACAGATTGTGTGATGGGGATGTAAGTGCGGGTGTCAGCTGTTCTGAGCTCGACAAGTAATGGAGGATCACGCTTCCTGTAGTTAAAATACGTAATGCTGGATTTAGCTGCATTGGTTTTGATCATCCATTTTTGTTCCCAGATGGCTATCCTGTCGACCTCATTTTGTGTTTTGTGTGTGTGTATCTATATTGGCATGAGTGATAAGTTGTGTAATGTCGTCTGCATAGGCTAGTGTCATGGAGTTGTGGTATACAGGTGTTGGAATGTCGTTAGTGTATAAAATGTAGAGGGTAGGGGAGAGGACAGATCCCTGGGGTACTCCGGCTTTTAGTGTGACGTAGTCAGAGTAACAGCCTTGGAATTTGATTCTCATGGTACGGCCGACTAGGAAGTTGCAGAGAAGTTTACGAGTAGTGAGAGGCAGGTTGAAGTTAGTGCAGAGTTTGTACTTGAGCCCTTCGTGCCAGTGTCAAAGGCTTTTTCAACGTCTTTTGCAACCAGGGCTGTCCTGTTTCTTTGTTTTGTGTTTATGTGGATGTAGTTGAGAATGATGTTAATGGCATCCTGTGTGGATCTGTGTGTTCTGAAGCCAAACTGGCCATCAGAAAGTAGAGAATTGTGTTCCAGGTATCTGCGAAGGCGATGATTGATGAGTTTTTCAAAGAGTTTTCCTAAAGTTTCGAGGAGGCTGATAGGGCGATAGTTTCTAGGGTCAGAGTGGTCTTTATTGGGTTTATGAAGGAGGATAGCAGTAGCAGCTTTGAAGAGGGAAGGGAAGTATCCAGAGGCAAGGGAGGCACTGAGGAGGTTTGTGTAGGCAGTAATGATAGAGTCAGGAAGGTGTTTCAGGATAATATGGTTTAGGCCAGAAGCACCAGGAGCCTTGGGAGGAAGGTGTCTGAGGAGAGTTTTAATGTCTGTGTTGGTGAAAGGAGTGTCGAGTTCTTGGGGGGAGGTAAGAGAGTCTAGATGTATGTGGCTGTCTGTTGTTGTTTCTTGTGTGTGCAGTGTTCCAGTGTTCTATGCTCTGAATGTGTTGAATAACGTTAGGGTGAGGTGGGTGAGGGTGGAAGATGTTCTCCCAGATGTGTCTGAAGATATTGGTAGCAGCCTGCGGGTCTGAGATGTGTGTTGTTGTGGGTGATGTGTTTGAATTTATTGGTGGGAGTTGTGCCTCTGATTTTTTTTATAAAGTTCCAGAAGGCTTTAGTGTTTTTAATACGCTGTTTGTCTGCTTGTTGTAGGAGTTGTGACCAGTGATTGTTGTGGTCTTGGTCTAGGCTGCGTAAAATATCGTTTCTAAGGTAAGTGAGATCTAATCGGACTTGATTAAATCTATGTGTGTTGTAGAGGAAGCGGTTGTGGTAGCAGATAATTAGTCTTCTTGTTAAGAGTGACGGTTTGAAGGAATAACGAGTGGTGTGAGTTTTCTTTGGTATTGCGATGTTGGCTGCTTGTGTAATGGTGTCCTGGATGAGATCAAGTTGAGTATCGATGTCAGAGATAGGTTTGTTGTTGTAGTCATAGGTGAGGTTAATATTGTCTATGTGTTTGAAAGCATCCCAGTCAGCGTTCTTGCAGGAGAAGGTAGGTGTGGTTGGAATGAGGATAGGGTTGGAGGAGATGTGTAAGATGACTGGGATATGATCAGAGCCTGTAATAGGGCCAGGTGAGATGTAGTGTTGAAATAGAGAGCTGGCTCGGTTTGCCAGAATGATGTCTGGTTTGCCTTGGCCCGTGTGGTTGTAGAAGGTATTGAAGTCTGGGCCAAGATGAATTAGGTGTTTATGGTTTGTGAAGTTGAGTAATTGGAGACCAAGTTGGTTGTTACTGGTGTGATGAAAGGCGGTGTGTCTGGCATTCATGTCAGCTAGTAGGTATGTTGGTGTAGTTGAAGACTAAGGAAAGGTCGTGTATGTTGAGAATAGTGTTTGGGCGAGCATAGGTGGTGAAAAAGATAAAGGGACCAAGGTGGGTGTGTATTCTGACTGCAAGACAGTGTTGGTGAAAAAAAGGGATTGGGAGAAATTCGTGTTTTATGTTGGAATTGACAAGGATGGCAACCCCATCGTGGGGATCATAGGGGGACTGTAGTGCAGTATAACCATAATGGCGGATGCGTTGAGGGGCTTTGAGGCAGGTACTGTTTAGCAAAACAATATCTGGCCTCTCTTCTTCAAGGAGCTCGGCCAGTAGGTGTCTAATTGTAAAGTAAGAACGTACGTTGAACTGAATCACCTTAAACGTGATTTAATGGTTTCGTCATAGCAAAGTTAATGTCGGGGGAGGAGTTTGGATTAAAGCCCGTGATAGTGGTGCCATCAGTGGATGTGTGTTTGTAGGTGCTACGGACCCGTTTCCTGGAGGGTGAGGAAGAGATGGATCTGTTTTTATGTTCTTTGGTCTGTGTCAGAAGTTGGGGCAGGTTTAGGTTTGAGTGGATTTTGTCTGGAGGAGGTGGAGTTGGACCTGGATGAAGTTTTGGTTGTGGTGGAGGAGTGGGCAAAGGTGGATGCAGAGGAAGTGGAAGCTTTGGTAGGGGATAAGGAAGTGGAAGCTATGGTAAGGGATGAGGAAGTGGAAGCTTTAGTAAGGGATGAGGAAGTGGAAGCTTTGGAAGGGGATGAGGAAGTGGGGGGAGGGGTGGTCGTAGCAGCAGCAGTAGGGGTGTTGGTGGGAGGTGTGGAAGTAGTGAAGAGGGGTAGGGGAGGAGGAAAGCTGGTTGGAGTAGGAAGTGGGGGGTGGTTGAGAGGGAGGAGGGAGAGGTTGTAGTAGGCTTAGAAGAGAAGCAGGAAGGAGGTATAATTAAAGAGGGAAGACTGTTAGCAGACAAGATTAGGTTAAGGACATGTAAGTAGTCTGATTGGTAAGCTTGTGAGATTACCATCGCAGAGTGGGCAGCAGTGGCGAGTTGACAGTTTTGTAGTCTAGTGTGGGTGTAGGTGTAGAAGGAGAAGTGCTTGTAGTCTGTGTGTTGGTGTTTGATGTGTGTAGAGTAGAAGTGCTAGGTGTTCTAGTGGTACACTCTGTAATCATTATTTAACTACATGTAAAACACACAATAACCAAATTCTGTAAACTCAGCATTGTAATCCTTATAGAGAATAAACTTTGAATTGAATTGAATTTGAAGAGGTAGACCAAATGCGTGGGGAGGCCCAGGCATTGGGGGTAGGGGAGGGGAGGG